ATTATTGGATTTGTTACAAGATTAAGAAATGAAACAGCGAAAGAAAGTGAATGCGAAAGTTTTATTCGTTTAGACGACTTTCTTGATAGTACAATACTAATTAAAGACGCGAGTACTTGTTTTGAAGTTAATTTCAATGGAAAAATATATTATAGTGAAGAATTATATTTAAAAAATGGCAACAAGTATTATAGACAAACTCAATATGTTCGACGTAAAAAAAATAATTATGTCTTTACATTTTCATTATTTTACGACGATAAAATTAACAAAATTCAACTTGATAATATTATGAATACACTGAAATTTTCGGACGAATAAATCTTCTGTTTGTTTTTGTTGTTGTGTGCAATTAGTGTAGTTTGAAAAAAATAAATTCACTTTTTATTTATTCAAATAGTACGTAAAAATATTCAAATAGAATTTTCTAGAACACAAACTTCTTTTCAAAGAGTTTTTATTGCAATTCAATTCGAATTACAAAAGATGAAGAATTTAACATTCATTTATTCGACTTTTTTATTGAAAATTACCCATTAAATTCTGGGTTGATAAAAAAAACCAAAAAGATTTTTCTTCGTTATTTTCTTATCAAAAATTTATTCGATTTTTTTGTATTGATTTTTAACAATAAAACTTTATTTTCTCGTTTGTCTCTCGATTACTTATTCAATAAAAAAATTTTCTTTTTTTCAAAATGAAAATTTCACTTACAAAATTACTTCAAACTTTTGAATTCGATGATTCCAATAGTCACCAACATAAAGATTTCCTTCATCATCAATAGATAAACCTGCGGTAAAACTCAACTAATCTGATTGATTTCCATACCCATTTCCACCAGCAACAATTTCACCTTCTTCTTTTTCTTCACACCAACGCATTATTCGATCATTCCCATTATCTGCCACATATATTTGACCCAAATCATCAACAATTACTCCTAGAGGTCCAGACACTTGATTGAGACTTCTTCCCTCACCATTTCCTCCAGCCACAACTCTTCCTTGTTTTGCATCTTTTCTCCATTTCATCACACGATGATTGCCCCAATCTGATACATAAATAGATTGATCTTTATCAACAAAGATAAAAATAGGGAAGTTAAGTTGATTGAGTTGATCTCCTTGTCCATTTCCACCTGCCACTACAACTCCTTCGGTGTTGTATTCTCCCATTTTCCATCGTCTCACTTCATTCTTCTCAACATCAGAAACATAAAGAAATCCATTTTTATCCATTGCTAAGCTATGACGGTTAATATTGTGAATGAGAATCTGTTGATTTTGATTCAACCTTTGAATCACTCGTTTGTTCCCATAATCAGCAATGATAATCGATTGAGTTTGTTGATCAACAATCACATCTGTTGGATAATACAATTGACCCATTTGATTTCCTTGGCCATTTTCACCTGCAATGATTTGTCCTTCCTTTGCATTATGTTTCCATTCAACAATACGATGATTATTAGAATCAGGAATGAAAATATTTTTCTTTTCATCAATAAAGATTCCATCAGGCCAATGGAGTTGATTTAGTTGTTGTCCTTCTGCATTCCCACCAGCTACAGTGATAGCATTTTGTTTCCATTTCAGATTGATCTTATCTATAATAAATGAAATTTTTTGTTTCAAATATCTTGGGAGTGTGTTAAGATTGTTGCATCTATTGTCCATTGATTCACTCACTTTTCATCGGTGGACAAATACTTTGATCAGTCATTGTAACTGGATAACAAAGTGGAAAATCATCACATTGTGGATGTTGGACACAAATCGTATTCGGTTGAAGACATGAATTGTCTGAAGAGTTGCAGCGTAAAAGACGAGAACATGTTGGCCAGAGGAATCCACAAACGCCTGTATTATCACCAGCACCTACCATATGAAAGCATCCACATGCACTGTTTGTCGAGCATTCACCATACTGAGGTGTTTTCTTACATATTTCAGATTTGGTTCGAACTATGAAAGTGATAAACTAATACATTTATATAAACATATAAAATACAATAGAAATCAAACCTGTTGTACTAGAATATAAAATTAATGAATATTAACAAAATGAATGGTAAAAGTCAGTAATTATTTACCTGAGAATAATAAAAACAATATAGCAATGAATCTTGATTGTATTCATAGTTGATTTTAGAATAAGAGAATATAGTGAAAAAATGTGTGTTTTCATTTCTAAAACACAGATAGTATCTTAAGCCAATATAATTGAAATAAAACAGATGCATTTATTCACATATCGATAAGTGGAAATTTGATATTGATTTCATTTCTTCTAATCTCTCTGATTCTATTCCGCGAAAAAATGCAATAAAGATAAAATTGAAAAATGCACAGATCATCATGTGATAAAGTTAAGATTCAACTGGTATTAATATATTTTCAAAGAGTGTAATATTGATCAGTAACAGTTATTTTCAGGATTGGAAAAAACTATTGCTTTCAAATGTAGTTTCAGATATAATTTTATCTTGTATTTAATAATAAAAGGAGAATGTTTTGAGTGGCATTTATTCGATATAGTACCAACGCTTAGAAGAAAAGTAAATTTGAAGAAAAAGTAATTCTCAATGAAAACAATTACTTCTCATTTTATGTCACACCAGCAAAACCTTTATCAGAAATCTCCAACAACTACCTGAAGTGCGAGTATGGGCGTTGATGTGAGTATCATGTTCTTTTCAACTACACCCACACTCAGGGGTGGCGCGACCGGGGGGGGTGTCGGGGGTGTAACACCCCCCCAATCTTTGAAAATTTCTATTTTTTGCTCAACAAAATCGACAAGTTTTCTTAAGTTTTTGAACAAAGATCATGCTACACTCCCTAAAAATTCAAAAAAAATCCATTACACCCCCCCCAAAAATTCAAAAATTTTTCGTTACACCCCCCCCAATGTTGGCTGACTCGCGCCACCCCTGCCCACACTCAGCTATATCACAAGATATTGAAAATATAGATTTCTGTTATATAACTCAAACAATAAATTCATTTCGTCTGTTTATTCCATAATAGATCTAATTTGAATGAAAATAAGTAATAGTGAATTATAATCTATGCGGGAAAACAAAATAATTTATCTTCCGAACGAAAACCTACTCATAATTTAATTTAACTTTTCTTCACAAGTTTTTATGATAATTAAGAATACTAATACTGTTCTCATGAGATCTTGTAATAGTCATCTAACAGTATTGATTTTAAAGTATATAATAATGGCTACTTCTTTTTCTAAACAAAAAAAAGGGTATGGGCGTGTTTTCAGAAAGCATATACCCACGACCACCCTCAAATTGTAGATTATCTTTGTTTGATTGCTAAGTATTTGCTTTGTTTATAATGCCTTAACGATTTCATGGGTTGTACGAAGAAATAGAGAAATTTTGTAACAGCTTATTTCATTCTTAACAGTGTGTATTCATTTTCGAGAAACATCTTGAATCAATTGAACAGAAAACAGACAGATGTGCTTGTTCTAATTGGATAATAAAGCTGTGACTAAGAATGTGTGACGAAAATTCCATGACAAGTTTTCTTTTTTAATGAATTATTCAATTACGAATTTGATGTGACAAATTGTTTTGATCATATGTAATAGACACTATATAAATAAACGTTCGCTACATCTATTACACATACGAAAATATTTCTAAGAATCAAATGGCATCTCAATGGTTCATATCATTCGCAATTGTTTGTTTGGTACGACTTGGTTGTACTGGACGTATATGTAAGTTCTTCTTGATATATACTTCGTTTTTTTAAAACATATTAAAAATAACTATGAATGATATTTAAAGACGAAATATATATTTTTTCTTCTGTTTTTAATAGTGCCTTTGGATAATCAACATGCACTTGATAATTATTATAAAAATGCTTTGTTGGGTCTATCAATCGAAAAGCCTGATAGATGGTATAAAATGACTGATGATGAGTTAAAGTCAATATTCCAAGCTGCTACTGGTCCATTGCTTTCTAATAACAATATAACAAGTGATAACGTAATCCCGTTATTTGCTTTCAGTAAATATCAATTAGGTATTCAAATTGGAAAATTTAATCCAAACATTAATGGAGTGGTTTCGAAATTGACAGATGAAGGAATGAAGGAAAGTGAATGCGATAGTTTTATTAGCTCACACAAATTACTTGAAGGTACACAATTAACAACAACAAATATAAGTAATTGTGCTGAAGTTATTTTCGATGGAAAAACATTTTTCAGTCAAATATCACATTTAAGTGTGAACGGCATGAATTTTACACAAGTTCAATATGTTAGAAGTTCAAAACATAATTATTTCTTCACATTCACAATGGATTATGACGATGAAATTAGCAAATCTGAACTTGACAATACTATGAAATCATTGAAATTTTCGGATGAATGAATCTTCT